TATCCCATTTGTTTGTTATCCTATCAGTTTGTCGGTTTCAGATTCATATTTGATCCCAAGGAAATACACACACACACACACACACACACACACACACACACATACATATATATATATATATATATATATTAAAAAGAAGGGGGGTGCCGCAAACGTTTTTGGTTGTAATGTGGATTTATTGAGAAAAAATATTATACTTTGTTTTACATAATATATATATATATATATATATATGTATGTATGTATGTATGTATTATAAAATGGACTAAGTCAGACAATTATTTTAATTTATTTTCTTTTTATACGTTATTTTCATAGGTACAAACATTTAAGTTAATTTTGTAATTTAAAAACGGTAATTTAACTTTGCTAACCAGACCCTTCCTCTGCAACTAAATGGTATAGCACGTCAGGCTATACAACGGTTCTGTGTAGGATACAGGTTCGATTCCTGTCGGAGGACACATATTTTCTATGAGATTTCTCACGTCGGTAAAGTTGGATAATACTCTTTATTATAAACAGAGCATTTACTTAAATATCTGTATCTAAAAAATAACGTATAAATACATACATATATATATATATATATATATATATATATATATATATATATATATATATATATATATATATTAAAAAAAAAAAGAACATTACGGTCAATTACAAGAGATATATAGACAACTGCTTTCAGCATCTTGTATTCCCAAGAGGTCACTCATCTAGGGACGCAATGTTTCAACGCGATGAGGGCTTAAGTTGGTGTTGGAAGAAAAATAATTTTCCATACTGATAAGTACTGAAAATAAATCTCTTTGCAGAAAAGAAAAAAATACAATAACAAATTAAGAGACTGGAGAATCTGTTGCCCAAAATATACGCACACACACACACACACACACACAAACACACAAACACAAATAAATATGTGTAAGTTTTGTTAAAAATGACTGACAAGGTGCTGTAGTTAAGTTTTTTATCTAATTTTTCCTGTGATCTTACAATTTTTTTTTCAGGACATGAATTATATAAAAAATGTCCTAATGTTTTATGTACCAAAGCGCTTTCGGCTATACTTTTAGCCATTATCAAGGATGATTTTAGTATCTGTCTATATTTCCGAGATGAGGTATTATGTACACTATTTACATTATTCGAACTATTGTCCTCAACTTTGTTGCCATATTTATTACAGCGTTTCGGCCCCTTGTACGCTCAGGCCTTCTTCAGGTGGTTGGAATTTCGAACTGGACTCTTTATTTCGCTCAAGGGCACATGTCACAGTGGATAAAGGTGTTGGCTAGATCCAGTGACAAGACCCAAAGGATGTGAGTTCAATACCCGGTTAAGGCAGTGGAGAACTTGCAGAGGGAAATTAACAGGAGATAACTGATAACTGACATCCATTAAACATGGCACATGGAACTAGAACAGTCTACCCCAGTGAGCGAAATAAAGGGTTCAGGTCGACATTCCAACCACCTGAAGAAGGCCGGAGCGTACAACGGCTGAAACGTTGAAATAAATATAGCGACAACGATGAGGACAATAGTCCGAATAATGTAAATAGGATGATTTTAGTTTTAGTTTTAACTGAATGTATGTATTGTTTTATGTATGTATTGAGAGGTAGAGGAATGTTTTATATTTCAAACACGATCAGCACATTGTGGCCGTTCCTAGTTGATATTAAGAGTACTGACTTTTCTTTTTTTATTAATAATGCTTCTATTATTTTTATCCTTTTTGTAGATGTGGATAATGCTATTATATTTGTATTATCAACAAGTCTGTTACAGATAGTGTTTGGTAGGTTTCCATGTGTATTTAAATGAGACCTAATTGAACTATGGTCAGAGAGATGTAACGTGAATTTTATTGTTAAACATATTGTTATCAAATATAATTATTTACTAATTTGTATTAGCCAGGAACACAGTTCCTTTAGGAACATGTAAATTCGTAAATATAATAATGATAATGGCTAAAAGTATAGCCGAAACACTTGGATATATAAAATATTCGGGCAGTTTTCATAGAATTTATGTTATGAAAAGAATTATAAGAACGCATGAAAATTATATAAAAAATTTAATCATGTCTTTAAGTCTTTTTTTAACGGAACTTGCAAAAAAGAAGGATTTCTGTCCAAATACATTCAGGATATTCCAACAACCCGTATGGGCGGTCTCCTTGTTTAAGTTGAAGAATGCTGCCATAATTTTTGCCTTCAGTTCATCTTTGGTGTTACAAGGAGTTTTGTTGGTCTTTCGCTCAACTGCGCTCCACATATAATAATCAAGGGTAATCAGTCTTGGAAGTTGGCCCAAGGTAAGGGGTGATTTGGTTGCACAAATTGTCTGAGTAGCATACTAGGGTCCTCCTGCTTGTTTGGTATGGTGCTGTGTCCTGTTGCCAGACACAGGATCATAACCACTCTCATGACACAGGGCAGCACTACTTCGTCAAGGCACTTGATGTAGGCCTCCATATTGGATCTGAGGCCCAGTGGGAAGGTGAATAGAAGCATAAGGTCACCATCACAGGTGATCACAGAATTCGATCTCAGATCAACAGACAAACACACTGAAATGCTCGTATTGCAGCTTCCAGAGCAAATATCAAGCAGTACAATATGCCGTTTTCAAATTTGTGGCGGGGAGAGTTGCGTTATGGTGCACTTTTTTTTTCCAAACGGTGCTGCATTTTCCCTACTATACTGTATAGACGAAAAAAAATCAAAACAAACAACGCGCATGCGGCATCAAAAATATAAAATGGCGGTAATTTATCATTGCACGCTGTATATATATATATAAAGAAATACATATTATATATATATATATATATATATATATATATATATATATATATATATATATTTGTATTATAACCGATAATAAATTTAATATATTTTCTGTTTCTACGTTATTTTTATAGACAAAATTTATTAGTAAATGCTCTCTTTTTTTTTTTTTTTACATAAACACTATTAATTATGTGTACCGTCCTGAATGTTCGAGGAATTTCGTAGAAAATATGCACTCTCTGACGTCAATCAAGCCTGTTGGCCATATATTTTAGATCTTGCCGGTGAGTTCTTATTGCTAACA